TCCATTTTCATTTTTGTGTGCAATCTTACAAAACCAGGTCAAAGGTAAATTGGAACGCCTTTTAATAGCTCTGGGTTCCTTATAACCTCACTTGCAATTGAGAGTACCTTCAGCTGTTTAACTTTGTACAAGAGTAGTACCTACTGCAGGGGAGTCTTGTAAGATTATTTTGGTCAAACAGTATAGACCTTGGTTAGTAAGTTGATAAAAGGACACTCAAAAGACCTTGGGTTATCTTCCTATACAAGAACTCGTTTAGACGTTATCTCAACTGGATCCATCAGTCCTCATGAATAATGCCAGTACACTGGTCTTTTACATGAATTTCAGAATTTGACTGAATTGAAACTCAAGAGCTCTACTAATCAGCAAGCTCTGACACTGAAATTCCAATGCAGAATCAAGCTCTGTCTGTCCAGTTGTCACCCCCATAACATTTCTAAAGCTTCTCATGTCTAATGTCCAGATAGTGTGATAGAATAAAAAGTGCCCCGGACCATGAGAAAAACATTTGGGTTCTGTCCCAGATTTCTTCTGCTAATTATTCACAAGATCTGGGGTAATATCTATCACTCCTCAGGACCTTTGTTCTTTTGTACAAGAACTGGATGAAACTAGACTGGTTGTTTCTCAAAGCCTAGTTCTCAGGACATCTTCAAAATCATGTGGAGGTGCGGTGGACCTTGATACAAAAATACACATTCCTAGGCCCCACCACAGTCCTACTGAACCAATGTTTTGGGGGGTTGAATTCAGGAGTCTGGTTTAAAAAATAATCTTCTTAGATCATTCATAGGCTCATTACAGTTTCTTAGAGTCTCCAAAATCCTTTCAAACCCTAATATCAAAGAACTAAATGTATGTCTATTCAACAAAACACACATGGCCACAATTCCTAAACACAATCTTGTTTACATTACCTCCTTTACAGTAACTGTCTCAACTCAGAGTGGTTTGAAAATGCTAAAAGCTCCCAAAGGTCTTCTGCCCTCTGTCAAAGGCCACTTCAGTGCCACAGAACACCTTGTGTCCTCTGGAGACTCTGATTCAAGTTTGACTTGAATATAAGAATTTCATTATAGTCTTCATGGTCACCGACTTAGACATGATGTCCTATTACAGAGGACCATTGCCTGCATGGAGAGGGAATCACCTGGTTATGACTTTGAACATATTACAGAACTAGGTTATACTCTGTGACAACTCTAGTCAAGACTGAAACCCTCCTTGAAAAAATAAAATAAAAACCACAGTTGCCATGAAGTCAGTTCTGACTCCTGGCAATCTCCGGGGCATCAGAGTAGAACTGTTCTCCATAGACTCTGTAGTGCCTGATTTTTTTGGAGTAGATCACTAGGGTTTTCTTTTGAAGTGCTTCTGGGTAGAGTGTTGAATATTTGATTACCCTGGGACTTCTGAAACCTGGCCTTCCTTTTCAATAAAACTCTTAAGCCTTCAATCCACAGTCAATGCCCATGGAAGCAGCAGTCAAGAAATCAAATGACTTATTTCATGGGGTAAATTTGCTGTGAAAGATCTCTTTAAAGTGTTAAAAAGCAAAGATGTCACTTTGAGAATTACAATTTACCCAAAGCAGGGCATTTTCAATAGCCTCATATGCATATGAAAGTTGGGCTATGAATAAGGAGGACTGGAATATAATTGATGTATTTGTACAATGGTGTTGGGAAGAATACTGAATATACCTTGGACTGCCAAAGAAGGAACAAATCTATCTGGAAGAACTATAGCTCCTTAGAAGTGATGGTCAGACTTCATCTTACATTATTTTGGGCTTGTTATCAGGGGAGACCAGTCCTGGAGAAGGGCACCATGCTTGATAGAGTAGATGGACAGCAGAAATGAGATGGATTGACGCAATGGGCTCAAACAGGAACAATTGTGAGGATGGTGTAGGACCAAGCAGTGTTTTATTCTGTTGTGCATAGGGCAGTTAGGAAGTTGAAATCAACTAGATGGCATCTAACAATAACAACCAAGTCCTTTGACAGGAGGTGTTGTTTTTAAGTGCCATTGAGTTGGTTTTGATTCATAGCGACCATGTATAAGGTTTCCAAGGAGTCTATACTATACATGGTGTTGTAAGATAAGCACTTGACTGCTTATCACAAGGACGGTGGCTCAAACCCACCACCTGCTTCTTGGAAACCCTACACAGAATTGCTACCTACAGGACTGGCACTTAACAACAGCAATAGGATTTCTGAGGATTTAAATTTTTGCGGGAGCAGAGTCTCATCTTTCTTCCGCAGAGCAGCTAGTGGGCTTGAACTACTGACCTTGTGGTTCACAGTCCATTGCTTATCATATGGAGCCATTGCACCCCCCAAAATAAGGAGGTAAGTAGTAGTTAAATGTCTTCCGAAGTGGTAGCAAAGATAGCTGCCCTAATACTTCTAGTCAGCTGATTAATAGGCTTAAGAGAATCTTCTAGTTACTAAGTTATTGTTAAAGTGCCATAGAGTCAGTTCCGACTCATAGCGACCCTATATAGGATTTCCGAAGTGCAGTTGGTAGTTTTGAACTCTGACCTTGTAGTTCACATTCCAGTACTGATCCTACAGCACAGTAGGGAGGTTTTCTTTTTTCTCAGGCAAACAGGAATTGTTAGGTAGTTGAAAACACATTGATTGAAGGACCTCCCTTGTAAATAATTTGACTGCCTTTAACACTGTCGCTACCCACCCCCACCCCCACCCCCCACCTTTTAACTTATGCAAAGCCTTCATTTATTGGATTTTTTTTTTTCTGAGATGATTTTATGCCTAGTAAGAGGTGTGTAAGCATTCTGGTTTCCCACAAAAGAACCGGCGGCATCTCATCCTTCTGTGACTCTAAGCTGACTGCTAAGCTTGACTTAAGTTTCCTCAGTTATGAAATGAAGGGGGAAACCAGAAGGCTGCTTGATTCCTTCCAGCTCTAATACTACATTCCTGTAGAGCAGGGGTGGGAAATACACAGCCCACAGGATGTATAGTGGTGGTGGTGGTTATGTGTCGTGGAGTCTGTTCTGACTCATAGTGACCCTGTATAGGGTTTCCGAGGCTGCAAATCTTTACAGGAGCAGAAAGCCTCATCTTTATCCTGTGGAACGACTTATAGTTTTGAACTGCTGACCTTGAGGTTAATAGCCCAACTCATAACCAGTATGCTATGAGAGCTTCTTTGCAGGACGTATAAGGCCCTTGAAATCATTTGGTCTGGCCCTGCCAAGGCAACTGCAGTTCCAACCATCATGTTGTTGTTGTTAAGTGCCATCAAGTTAGTTCTAACCCATAGCGACCCTTAATAGGGTGAGCTTGAATCACCCACCTGGCAGTTCAAACGACTTTGCAGTCTGGAGCATTAACCTACAGCGCCACATCAGGACTCCTAACTATAACATTGCTGTTGTTGTTATGTGCCATGGAGTCGGTTCCGACTCATAGCGACCCTGTACAGGGTTTCTGAGGCTGTAAATCTTTACGGGAGCAGAAAGCCTCATCTTTCTCCCGTGGAACAGCTGGTAGTTTCAAACTGCTGATCTTAAGGTTCACAACCCGATTCGTAACCACGACGCTACCAGAGCTCCTTAACCATAACATTAGGGATGAGTTAATTAAATGTTTCACCAAATACGACAGGCCAATTTTTAGGTTGATAATTTTGTATGGCCCGCAAATGAAGTTATAAATATCCAAATGGCCCTTAGTTGAAAAAGGGTTCCCCACCCCTACTGTAGAGGAAAGCAGCATGATGAAGTGGGCAGACCTAGGTTGGAATTCTAAGGCTCAGTTTCCTCAAGTGTAGAATAGGGGGGGGGGGGGTGATGTTGCATTCTCTCTCAAGCTCGTAAAAGTATTCAGCATAGGGTTTGGCATTCTAGGAAGGTGAGCTTTCCTGGATCCCTAGGCCCCAACCTCATAAGTGATGCCTTTCAAAGTGCACCTAGTTGGGTCTCCTCTTACTCCTCTTATTAGAGAGACAACCTCTCTGGTCCTTACTCATGAGCAAAGGCTAGCCCTCTGGGAAGGGAAAACCACCTGCCAGTGAATACAGGTTCTCTGTTGCTTCCTCACCTGGATCTCCACTGTAGCATGAAGTTGTCTGGTTGAAGTGTGGCAGAGGCAACTCTAGAAATGAAGGGCTCACTATCACTAACAATGCACTGGGGCTCACAGTGGCACTGCAGCAGAGCCCTAAAGTCTTTTCCTTGGGGATCAGGTGGGATCTCCTCTCTGCATGCTAACCACACCTGAGAGCTGGAAGCAGCTGTGAAGACTGCCTTCCAAGGAAACCAGAGACCAGAGAGGTGAAGTGATTTTCCCAGGTTACATACTGTAGCAACAGAAGTTAGGAAATCTCCCAGGACCCACTGGCTCTCACACTTGAGACCCTTTGCACTGAAATGTCAATGCTGTAAGTATTGGTGAGGAGTTTGGACTTTGGAGGTCTGTAGCCCTTTCACTCCTCCTCTAGCCTTCTCCCTCCAGCTGTGTGACCTGGGTCATGAGTCCTCCTCTCTCCTGGGCCTGAGTGGCCTCATCTATAAAAGTCGGACAATAAACCCTTTCTGTTTTGAGAATTAAAAGCAATTTGTATGTGACACCAGAGATGGAGGCAGAGACAATGATGTGGAGAGATGGAGACCCAGAAAGGGAGAGGAGCTGTTGGGGTGTTGGGGTATACCCTTTGGTTGTTTGATGATGCAAGGAGGGGACTGTAATTATGGCAATGAAAGATATACAATAGGATGAATGTAAAGCTAATTTTCTCCCATGTAACCATGTAAACTATCACATAATTCACAATAAAAACTTAAAAAAAAAAAGCAATATTATATGTATATTGTTTAACAGTGTGCCTGGTACAGAATAAGTTTCGGCAATTGGTAGTTCTAATGATCATTAGGAGTTCTGGTGTGGCGTTATAGGATAAGAACTGGGCTGCTAACCTAGATGGTCCAGTGTCAATGCGAGGGGCGTCCCCTGGGGGCTCACCTGGTGAGGCCAGTAGTACTTTCGCCCCGCAGCACTGGAAGCAGTGCAATAGGGACTTCGCGCGGATGTTGTAGTTGAGGCACGACATGGCACAGCCCAGCTTAGCCAACCCCAGCCACAGCCACACGTAGGCCGGCTCATTGCCCATAAAGAGCGCCACGCAGTCTCCCTGGCGCAGGCCGAGGTGGTCGTGCAGTGCCCGCGCCACCTGATTGCTGCGCCGGTCCACTTGCGCGTAGGTGAGCGTCTCATCGCCAAAGAGGAGAAAAGGCTTGTGTGGCTTGTGGCGCACTTTCTCCAGGAAGATCCGCAGGATGGTGCGCACTGGCCGCCGCTGTCCGTAGCTGCGCACCCTCCGGGCCACGCCGGCCACTCGCAGGAAGTAACCCATGTCCTGGAAGAAGTAGGGACAACAAAAGTTCACCAGCAGAGGCAGGAGCAGCAGCCCCGCCAGAGCGGTGTAGACGGCGGGCAGCATAAAGGTGGCGGGGCCCCCTGTCCCGGTGAGGGCAGAGGGCGCACTCTGGGCGTACAGCGCGGCGGTGAGGCGGGCTTCTGAGTGAAGGTGGGCGGAATGCCGGGAGGCGGTTGGCGGTGGGACGCCGGGTTCGCACGAGGGACAGAGAGGTGTTTTGGCTGTCAGCACCTCCGCAGGCTTCCTGTTCAGGACAGGTGGAGTGGTGTGCGCGCTCTGGGGTTCTGGGTGGGACCTGCAGGCTGAGCCCGCCCCCTGGTGGGGCGCAGCCACCTGCACTCCAGGCCCGCCCTTGTGGCGCTCTCTGGCGGGAAGGTGGCTCTGCAGCTCTCTGGGTGGTCTTGATCTTGGGTGGAGTCTGAACTCCCTATGTTGTGCTCCAAGTGTTTTTAAAAACTTACTTCTTGAAGCCACGGACTCCTTATCAAAACGGTGATGCTAAGATGAGTTTAGCAGATGCTGAGGTTAAAGGCACGTGTATGTGTGGGGCTATTGCTTTTTAAGATTACCACGGATAGAGTGACGTATCAAAATAAAAATAAAAAGCAAACCCACTGCCACCAAGTCAATTCTGACTCACCGACTCCATCAGACACAGTACATCTGGTCCTTAAGATTTCCCAGACTGTAAATCTTTATAAATGTAGCCAGCCTCATGAAGAGCACGTTATAGACATAATTCATTGCTGTTATCAATAAAGTTCCTTATACATGTGAGGCAATCCTTTTATTTATTAATAGTTGGTACCATCTGTTATTGCCAAACCAGAAACCCATCTCTCCTTCCTGGTCCCAAAGGCTTTCCACCTGGTCTCTCTTTGTTTCAGCTTTGCTCCTCTGCCCCTCCCTGCCCAGTTTCCTGTATGGAAGGCTTCAAGTTTGGACAAAAGAACCAACGATGAGATGTTCCTATCCAGCTCCTATCAGACCCTGGTCAGGTGGGTAAGGGCTTGACTCTCTGATCCTAGTTGACTCCACACTGGCCAGTGAGAGCTCATTTGGCAAAAAAAAAAAAAAAAAAAAAATTGCTACACATGGTCACATGAAACCAAGCTCTGGGTTATTTTGGCTTGCTCTAATATTTTGCTAAGTTAAGTGATTTTTTTCCCTGTATGTTGAAAATTCTTAAACATTGTCAGTCCATCTCAAAAATGGCTCTATTAGAGAATAGTACAACACAGATGAAGTTAAGTAAATGTAATTAGCTAGTCTTTCTCAAAATCCATTTCCTTTAAGAGTCTGGTCCTCTCAATTTCTTTTGATACTATTTCTATACATAGAGAATACTCACTACATGCTTGTTACTGAGAAAGATTCAGATCTAAGTAAAAGTTCTGTTTTACTTTTTTCTTTTTATTTGCTTGTGACCATCCATCTTCCTTCTTATAAATTAACTATAAGTACTGAATTAATTACTCTGTTCCAGGTTCTCTACTGGGAGCTCCACTGTATTATACCAGGGTAAGTCAAAAAGTATTGCTACAAAAATCATAGCTACCTTTATTAAACAAAAATCTCCAAATGTGAAGTTATTGTTTCCCTATATGAAGGTGGTATTTCTCTCTTAACCTTTTCCCGAAGAATTCTGTGCTTTCGGGTTTAGGCAGTTTTGGCACCCACCCTCCAGGGACTGAAATCATGCTCCTTTTCAAAGTTTTTTTGAGTTTGGAAAACAAAAAGGAGTGTTAATTGGCGTGATTAGGATAGGTGGGATAAGGTTTCCCAAGGAAATTCTCCCGTGGCAGTACTGAATAATTATGAAGAATGAGAAAGAAATTCCTTGGTGTAACGTTTCCTGGCCTTTTTCTCATCAAGGATGTTTTCAGTTTTTTTTGTTGTTGTTGTTTTTTTGAACACTTCTTCCTAATAAGCAAGCCCATACTATTATCTTGTGTCCTTTGAGAAAATCTATTGAGATTATCCCTTTGGGATCCCCCAAAACAGTAGCCATAACCTTCTGAGCTGACCTGTCTGTTTTGAATTTAACTGACCCAGCAAGTCCCCTTAGAAGCCACTGTTTGGAACAGACAGTTTCTTTGAAGGTACCATAAGAAGACAAGTGTATTGAGAGAACTTGTGTGTAGCCATCCACTGATTACAGACACATGTTTCAACACCTTTTGTTTGGAATAAACTCATGTGTATATAAACTGGAACTCTAATAGCAATCTTTCTTATTTACACTTCTAGTTTGGAACCTCACAGTCACTCTATAAGCATGGTACTTTTATGCTCATTTACAGAGGAGAAAAGGGAAGTTTGTTGTTAAGTGCCATCGAGTTATTTCCAACTCATAGTGACCCTGTATAGGATTCCCAAGGAGTGGCTGGCCGGTTTGAATTGCTGACCTTGAGGTTAGCAGTCCAGTGCTTATTTTATTGAAGAAAGCTACTAAGTAATGTAACCTTGGTGGTTCAAGAGATTAAGAGCCCCATTGTTAATAGAAAGGTTGGTGGTTCAAAGTGACGTAGCTCATCTGTGAGATAAAAAACTGGCAAGCTACTGATTTTTCTTGGAAACATTTCATCCTAGGAAAGTCTATGGGGACAATTCTATTCCATCACACAGGATTGTTACAAGTTGAAAGCTGACTTGAGGGAACCCAACAACATCAGTAAGCAATGCACAGGTTTTGAAAACACTATGTGTACCGTTTCGGGACCCGTACTGCTCTCTACTATGCTACACTGCTTCCTATTCTCCATGCTTAGAGCACTGTGGCTCTGGAGGATAAGTACTGCATGCAAACCAAAAGGTGGATGGTTTGAGTCCATCAGCTCCGCAGGAGAAAGATGAGGTTTTCTGCTCTTGTAAAGATTTATAATCTCAAAAATCCTATGCATGGTCAATAAGAGTTAGAACCCACTCTGTGGCATCTAACAACAGTGATACGTCCTTTATTTCCACCCCCTTTTTTCTTTTAGAATCTTCTCTCCCACACACATATTTTAGCCTTCTCTTGTTATTCCTGGTACCTACTCAAGTAAGGAGTCCTGGTGTGGTGCTGTGGGTTAATGTACTGGACTGAAAGGTCGATTTCAACTGCAGGGTTAGTGGTTTAAGTTCACCAGCCACTCCTTGGAAATCCTATACAGGGTCACTATGGGTTGGAACGACTTGACAGCACTTAACAACAACACTCAAGTAAAGACTTCTCCTTCTGTGATATTCTCTTTGCCGATGCAGCTAAGATCCAGTGTCTAGTTGCATCATTTCCCTGGGGATGAATTGAGGACCTTCATCACCCCTGAGGAGTAAGCCATAGTGTTAACCAAAATAGGGGCAACAGCCCCAACTGGTGGACACTTCTTTCATGTTGAAGCTCAGAATTAGCTCTTCCTTTCTGTAAGTGCCACCTTTCTCATCCTTTCATAGCTAGCCACTTCAACTGGGACTTCCTAGATCCTGTTTGTTCTTTGTTTGTGTTTTGTTTTTAAACAGCTACTCTCTACCTAGAGTGCTAGATTACCCTACAGTCCCACTCCTCCCTCCTCATTTCTGAGAATCATTTTAACCTAGTATGTTAGTTGGGAGTCTTTCAGTTATAAGTGAAAGGAAATAAGACTTCAACTGGCTTAAGTAGAAAGAGGGATTTAGGTAGTAACTGAGAGTCCAGAGGTAGAAAAGCCTTCAGGCAAACCTTAATCTATTGTTTAAGTTCTGCCACCAGGACCCAGTTTCTCTTCCACGGTTTCTCTGCTCCATCTTCTCAGTATTGTTCCTTTTGCCATGTGGGCTCTCCCCTCATGATACAAAGATGGCTGATGACAGGTCTTAAAGTTACATGCTTCTTGGGTCAACTTCAGAGAGGAATACAAGATTTCCACTCCCCCCCCCCCTCCCCAAGACCTGTCATGGATTGAATTGTATTTCCCCAGGTATGTGTCAATTTGAGTAGGCCATGGTTCTTAATGGTTTGGCAGTTATGTAATGATGTAATTTGGCAGTTATGTATTGATGTGATGATCTCCCCATGAAGTGATCTGATGCAATCATCCTTCATTTGTGATGTGTTGCAAATGCTAACCTCTATGCTGTTAATGAAGCAAGATTAGAGGCAGTTGTATTAATGAGGCAGGATACAGTCTACAAGATTAGATTGTATCTAAATTCAATCTCTTTTGATATATTAAAGGGATTAAACTAATCAGCAGAGATTTAAGGACCTGACTACCACCAAGGAAAAAGAGCCAGGAGTGGAGCGTGTCTTTTGACGCAAGGTCCCAGTGCTGAGAACCTTCTCGACTCAGGGAAAGATTGATGCCAAGACACACGGAGATCTTCAAGAAATATGAGCACACAGATGCTGAAGGGAGACAAGGACTTTCTTCCTAAACTTTGAGTCAATACAGACAAAAATCCTTCCCTCAGAACTGGTGCCCTAAACTATAACAAAATAAATTCCTGTTAAAGCCATTGACTTGTGGGATTCCTGTTATAGAAGCACTAAATAAGTAAGACAGGACAAAACATATTTTCTTAGAACCAATACAAAACGTGAAACACCCCAGCAAACAAACCTGTTGCTGTTGAGTTGATTCCGTCTCACGGTGACCCGTGTATTACAGAGTAAAACGACTCTATAGGGCTTTCTTGGTTGTGATCTGTATGGAAGCAGATTGCCAAGAGTTTTATGATTGTCAACTTGGCACTTGTACATATCTCTTTTGTTGTTGTTGTTGTGGGTTAGTTAGTGCCTTTGAGATGGTTCCAACTCATAATGACCCTGTATAGGGCTTCTGAGGAGCAGCTGGTGGGTTTGAACTGCTGACCTTGTGGTTCGCAGTCCAGTGTTGATCCTACAGTGCTACACCAGGCATCCACATATCTCCTGAAAGCAAACATAATTTCTAAATACAGACAATATATGCTTGGACCTAACATGATACAACTAACATGCTTACAACTGAAAATGCACTAACCCTGTTTACATCTTAAATTTTTAAGTGAACAACAAAAAAATAACAGATGCACTCATGGAAAGCAAAAATACTCATTAAAAAGTATAGTCCTCATTTCTGCAACTGGTCATGTGGCTGTAGCTGGGATGTAGAACTACTTTTTAATACCATGTATTCTGTTTTCCTTTTGCTATCTGCAAGCTCCTCAACTGGTCATGGTTCTTTACCTGGTGGG